GACTTTGGCTTCATTTTGATGTGATAAATTATGAATTTTGAAGTATGAGAGATATACAAGACATTTTCCTAAAGTATTCTACTGCTAGGTATTTTTAGGAATCAAAAATTGGTTGAAAATCAAGTCCAAATTTGTTTGTGGAAGAGTTTCAATCAAATAAGAAAAGTTGCCAATGCACGTGCATGTTTGTCTGTGCACATTCGTCAGTACTTTGGTTATGATTTTCTCTTCCAATATTCAATCGAGTTGATATAAAATCATTGGAAAGTTAACTCAAAATACTACTACTTTATTAGTGTAAAATTTTTCTAATTCGAACGTTTACTGTGCAAAAAATAGATCTCAATCTAAAAATTATGAATATAACTTGTGTGATTGGAAATTGATTTTTAAAAATACTTTGATCATATTTCATTCGATTTTGACTTCTAATTGCATCTAATTTAGTTCTAGCAATCTTCAACTATAGTTTTATTGTCCAATTGGTCCTCAAACTTTGGATTTCACCATTTTTCGTCATTTTTCACTTCTTTATTCTATTTTCATGTCCAAAATCGAGTTTCACCTAATAAATGAAATACACACAAGATTAAGTTATAATCTATCAAGAAACAATGAAATGTCAATATTTTTAAGCCCGACTAAATGTATAATTTATTGGCAATTAGAGATGACACAAACTAGGTTAAATAAGAAAACTAATTATGAATAACTCGGTGAAAAAAATTTCGGAGTTTTAACTCCTCCCCATTTCTATTATGCAAATTAGTGTTGCCTACCAAAGATTGGATATGATAAATTATGCTTTTAATAATGACTATATTTTGCAAATAATACAATACTCTTTATAGAATATCACCTATAAGAGCATGAACTTGGTTGGTTCAATAAGAATTTTACATAGGCAAATTCTTCCAATTAATGAACCTAAGAAGGTTCATGGTCAAAATAATGAGCTCAATCAAGAATCAAAATTTGATATGAGAGAATATGTTTGATCTATTTTCTGGTCTTAAAATAATGATTGACAGTTCAAAACATTGTATTTACTAATTAGCTAAGTGAATTCAATAGATTCTTACTAAGGAAGGCTCAAAACAAAAGGTACCGATCTTGATATATTGTATTTCAATAGTACTCTTCTTCGTCTTGCTTGTTTATAGTTGACTCTTTAGTTTATGTGGGGAATCGTTGGAATTTATGGAATAATTCTTATAGGTGTAAATTGAAAAAAATTTCAATTGGTTCGATGATTAATTGCTTCTCTTCAGATGTAAATGGTGCATAACAAAAAGTTATGTTGTTTAAGAATCGATGTTGACAATAGAAATCAGATCAATAAATCCGATCACCTAGCCAGAGTTTTCACCTCTTAAACTCACTAGTTTTGATGCTCAAACTTGTAGCTAGAGGGAAAATTCTATTCGGGAGGAAGATATTGGAATTGCATGACTTTCTCTTTAAAAGTGAGAGCATTTATAAATTTTTCTTCATGTTCGGAGAAAATTCGATAATTTAGGAAAAAATATAGAGGTCAGCCTCTTATTTGAAAACTTGTAACTGATTCTGTTAATGGTATCACATTTTATTCATTGGGTTACGTGTTATTTTATTAACAGCCTTAGCAAGCCTGGATGGTGGAAATGTTTACCAGCTTTGAGAGAACCTTTTATTCTCTTGTTCCCTCACGTATGGCTTGGAAAATGCATAAATCTCGAAAGCATGCATATTCAATTGGTTCGATGATTAATTGCTTCTCTTCAGATGTAAATGGTGCATAACAAAAAGTTATGTTGTTTCGGAATCGATGTTGACAATAGAAATCAGATCAATAAATCCTATCACCTAGCCAGAGTTTTCACCTCTTAAACTCACTAGTTTTGATGCTCAAACTTGTAGCTAGAGGGAAAATTCTATTCGGGAGGAAGATATTGGAATTGCATGACTTTCTCTTTAAAAGTGAGAGCATTTATAAATTTTTCTTCATGTTCGGAGAAAATTCGATAATTTAGGAAAAAATATAGAGGTCAGCCTCTTATTCGAAAACTTGTAACTGATTCTGTTAATGGTATCACATTTTATTCATTGGGTTACGTGTTATTTTATTAACAGCCTTAGCAAGCCTGGATGGTGGAAATGTTTACCAGCTTTGAGAGAACCTTTTATTCTCTTGTTCCCTCACGTATGGCTTGGAAAATGCATAAATCTCGAAAGCATGCATGCTGCAAACATAATATCAGGTATTGTAGCTGCATGATAAAGCCGATTTGCAATCAGACTTCTATAGGTAGCAGCATCCTCCACCTTTCTACTTCCATTCTCTTTCATCAGTTTTTCATTGACCACAAGAAGTGTATCTATTGGTTTACAACCAAACATTCTGAACATTTTCAGATTTTTTCAGCTTATCTTTTCCGTGAAATAAACACTTATTCTTCATTTTGTTAGATATCAATTCCCAAAAAAATGACATAGATCCCCCAAGTCATTCATTTCATACATCATCATCATTTCCTTTATAAAATGTTCAATCATTGCAGCATTGCTTCCTGTTATCACCAAAACATCGACATAAACTACCACAATAAGAATATCACCAATGACTTGCCTTTTCACATACAATGTAGGCTCACTCTTACTTTTGTCAATTCCTTTTTTCTCAAGATAACTGTTAATCTCACTATATTATACTCTAGGTACTTGTTTCAGCCTGTAGAGTACTTTCTTTAGCTTGTACACTTGTTTCAGCCTGTAGAGCACTTTCTTTAGCTTGTACACATTTTCTTCATAGCCTTGGGTGATAAATCCTTGAGATTTCTCAAGATAAACCTATTCATTTAACTCTCCATTTAGAAAGCTGACTTCATATCAAGTTGATAGAACAACGAACATTTATAGCAGCTAAAAAAATAAGAGCTCTCACCGTATCAGGTCCAGCTACTGGTGCAAATGTTTCTTGATAATCAATACCGGTCTGTTGTAAATAGCTTTTTGCAACCAACCTTGCTTTGTTTCTTTGCACTAAACCATGTGTGCTGTATTTCACCTTGTAAATCCAATTTACGCCAATAACTTCTTTGTTTTCAGGCCTATCAACAAGCTCCCATGTGTTTCCCTTTTCAATCATATCAATTTCTTCTTCCTTAGCTTTCTTCCAAGCCTCTTCTTTTATTGCTTAATTAGTTTTTTCTAGCTCTATGCAAAAATTACATCTTGCATGAATGTCGTCCAAATTTCTCATTCTTACTAGAGTTGAACTTGACGATGATGAGCTAGAACTTGGATCTGATGATACATTGTTTTTATTGATGATATATTGGTTTATTCTCACACTCATAATGAACATGCTGAGCATTTGAGGATTGTCTTGCAGACTTTGAGAGATAAGCAGTTGTATGCCAAATTTAGCAAATGTGAATTTTGGCTGGATCAAGTTGTGTTTCTAGGTCATGTTATCTCGGCAAAAGGTATTTATGTAGATCCTCAGAAAATTGAGGCAGTAATGAAATGGGAGAACCCTACTGATGTTACAGAAGTACGGAGTTTCCTTGGGCTAGCAGGTTATTATCGACGATTCGTAGATGATTTTTTCAAAATTGCTCTTCCTTTGACTAGTTTGACTCGAAAGGACATCAAATTTGTATGGAATGAGGAATGTGAGAAGAGTTTTCAAGAGTTGAAGAAAAGGTTAACTTCTGCTCCTATACTTACTCTTCCGTCTTCAGGTGAAGAGTTTGTGACTTATAGTGATGCTTCACGCCAAGGATTGGGTTGTGTTCTAATGCAGAATGAAAAAGTTGTAGCTTATGCTTCTAAACAATTGAAGAAGCATGAGTTAAATTACCCAACTCATGATTTGGAGTTAGCTGCAATAGTGTTGGCATTGAAGATTTGGAGACATTACCTTTATGGTGAGAAATGTCAAATAAAAGTCTAAAGTATATCTTTGATCAGAAAGAATTGAATCTGAGGCAAAGAAGATGGTTGGAGTTGATAAAGGATTATGATTGTAAAATTGACTACCATCCGGGGAAAGCTAACGTAGTTGCAGATGCTCTCAATAGAAAGACTAGTTCTTCATCTCCATCCAGTGCAGTATATGTTTCTTTGATTTGTGAGTTCAAGAAGTTACATACTCAGTTGTCAGTTACTACTTCAGGGGCAATATTAGCTCATTTCCAAGTGAGGCCTTCTTTAATTGACAAGGTTAAAGAAGCTCGATCTCAAGATCTGCCATTGAGAACCATGAAAGCACAAGTTAGTGCAGGGTTAAGGACAGATTATGTGATTAGAGATGATGGGTCATTAGCTATGGGCAATAAATTATGTGTTCCAGATATTCCAGAATTGAAGAATGAAATTTTAGAAGAGGCACATAGTTCTGCTTATGCTTTGTATCCAGGTAGTATTAAAATGTATCATACATTGAAAGATCATTACTGGTGGAAAGGTATGAAGAGAGAGATAGCAGATTTTGTATCCAAATGTCTTATATGTTAGTAGGTAAAGCCAGCTCGTCATAAAACAGCAGGACTTTTACAGCCATTGCCTATTCTAGAATGGAAGTGGGAACACATTACTATGACTTCTTATTTGGTCTTCCTCGTACTCAGAATGGTCATGATGGTGTTTGGGTGATTGTGGATCGTTTGACCAAAATTGCCAAATCTTTGCCAATCAAAATCACTTATTCTTTGAGTAAGTTAGCAAAGTTGTACGTGGATGAAATAGTTAGCTTATATGGTGTTCCAATATCTATTGTATCTGATAGAGATCCCCGGTTTACATCCGAATTTTGGCCTAGTTTACAAGGTGCTATGGGTACTAAACTACATTTCAGCACAGCTTTTCATCCTCAGACAGATGGTCAGTCAGAGAGGACCATACAGACTCTTGAGGATATGTTGAGGGCTTGAGTTTTGGAGTTCAAAGGTAGCTGGGATACTCATTTGTCTTTGATGGAGTTTGTTTATAATAACAGTTACCACTCCAGTATAGAAATGGCTCCTTTTGAAAATTTATATGGTAGAAAGTGCAGAACACCAGTATGTTGGAGTGAAGTTGGTGAAAGAAAGTTAGTGGGCCCTGATTTGGTTCAAATGGCTTCAGAAAATGCGAAATTGATTAGAGAAAATTTGAAAATAGCACAAGACAGACATAAAAGTTATGCAGATAAGCGCAGGAAAGATCTTGAATTTGCAGTTGCAGTTGGAGATAAAGTCTTTTTGAAATTGTCACCTTGGAAAGGAGTGTTGAGATTTGGCAAACAAGGAAAGTTGAGTCCATGATATATTGGACCTTATCAGGTTACTGAGCGGATTGGGCCGGTTGCATATCGATTAGATCCGCCAGATGAATTATCTCGGATCCATGATGTTTTTCATGTTCCATGCTTCGTAAATATATTGCAGATTCTTCTCATGTTCTAGAGTCTCAACCAGTTCAGTTGAAGGAGAATTTGACTTACGTACAAGAGTCATTGAGAATTTTAGACGAAAAGGTGCAAATTCAGCGAAACAAGACAGTTTCACTTGTTAATGTACTTTAGCATAATCAAACAGTAAAAGAGGCTACATGGGAGAACGAGGATCAGATGCGTGCTCAATATCCTCATTTATTCATTATCTTATCAATTGCCAGCTGAATTTCGAGGACGAAATTCTTTTAAGAGTGTAAGATTGTTACAACCCAAATTTTCTAGTCAAAATTCAAATATTGACTAGTCAAAGTCAATTAAGGACTAAAATGAAATTAAATATTTTATTGGGGTTTATTTTATAATTAGCCATATATGAGGGTTAAATTGGCTACAATTTAAAGTTGAGAATTTACTTATATATATTTGGAAGTTTAGAATTTAAAAGTTATATTCTATTAAAGAATAGGGACCTTCCTTAGCAATTTTGAACAAGTGGCATTTATATTCAAACCTTGACCATTTTTTCTACAAAAATCACACACAAACACACACTAAAGTGTGTTGAACGAGAGAGATCGCAGAGAAGAGGAGAAAGGGAAGAAAAGAAAAAGAAAGGAAGAAAAAAAAAGGAAAATGAAAGAAGAAATCTTGTGCCAACTACTTCAATCTTGTTTATTTAATTCTTCAAGAGGTAAGGTTAATAATTTATGATTTAGTTTTTGTAAATTTTTGTTATTGGTTTTAAATTTATAGCTTATACTTGAAAAATATGATAAGGAATCCAACTATTTGAGTATTTGGAGCTAGTTATTCTAGTAGATTGGAAAAAATGATATTTAGATATTAGGGTTTTGTCATATATAGCTAAATCCGAAAATTTGGGGAAATATATAAATTCTTGTTATTTTTCCTTGTGATTGTTTTATGGTATTATTAAGTTAGATTAGTTGAAAATAACTTATCTTATGCTTGAATTCTCACTTTGGATGAATATGGAGAATATAAGAAAGGAGCTTTTGACAAGATTTATGTATTTAGTTAAAAGAGAATTTAAATAAGGAATGTGGATGATTATTATCATAAAAAACTTGTTGAATCTTTACGGGGCAACCGGAAAAGGTTAGTATTAAAGAGTGAGGGATGTAGAGTGATTTGAAATTAAGTGAACGTATGTTTAAGTAACCAAATAAAAAAAATATTAAGTCTCAGCTTATTGCTTATTGAGGGATGTATATATTTTATTTTAGTTTGATGATAAGAAAGGGTTATTATTGAGAAATCCCTTGTAACTGTATATGGATGGAATTGAAGTAGCTTATATTTATGATCGTTTCAGGAGGGGATTTGGACGTGGGAACAGCATACCAGCCCCGTTAGTCCAGCCTATTCTTATGAGTGAAGAATCTATATTTTCAAAAAGAAGATTTTCTTTGTATTTTATAGAAGCATGTTAATTACATGAAATGCTTTATTTTCGAGAAATAGTAAATGAGTATGATTGCTTTGGAATTATCATAAAATAGTTGATGTGATTAACTTACTCTAATGCACTGAGGGGCTACGGCCGTGCATTAGAGTCATGTATTTAACTCTTATCCACTGAGGGGCTACGACCGTGGGTAAAGTTATCCATTATATACTGAGGGGCTACAGTCGTGTGTAAGGGTAACTCTTATCCACTGAGGGGCTACGGCCGTGGGTAAAGTTATCCATTATACATTGAGGGGCTTCAGCCGTGTATAATGATGATTATGTTATTTCCATCTTGTACACTAAGAGGCTACGGCCGTGTACAGAATATTGATCAGACGGTTTATGTACATTTGATTTATAGCTTTCAGATCATTAGTAGATGTTTACGTGGGATATATATTTTGATATGAATTTTAATTATACAGTGGATTATTAGTCTTCAGCTTACATTTTTCCCGCTTACAGTTCAGCTTGTGGATTTTAGATTATGGTTTTTGATTTTGAATTGTCTAATGTACTTACTCATCTGGTTATATATATATATATATATATATATATATATATATATATATATTTACACACAAAGAACAGTACAACCATCTTTTAAGCACTTCAACACTGGGATTATTATCTCATATTTTCCTAAACTTTTCCTTATAGGAGGCTGTTGACTGAGCTGTGGTGGAGATTATTTTGATAGTTTTGCAGCCATTGCTACCACCAATTGTAGGTTCTTTTGTTTGAAATTGTGTAATCATCAAGTGAAATATTTGCATCATATTGGAGGAAAATTATTTTTGGTATTTATAAACACCAATGATCACGATGTAATATTGTAATCTAAACTGCTTTCTATTATCCTTTTGAGAGGCAGTTTTGATGTATATGATATGGATGTTTTTGGCTAAACGAGCAAATGATATTATTATGTTGGTATTTTATTGGAGTTTAGAAAGATTTTAATTGGTCAAAAGAAGCTTTATTATTAAAGTTTAGTTACTTTTGCCTTGGTGATGGGTCCAGTACCTAGCTGGCACTTATCATCGGCTCACGTCACGTCTTGAGTCTTAGGACGGGATGTGTCACATATACTCTAAGATGCTTAACTGATGGATTTCTACCATTCCATGCTTCAAAAGATGTTTTATTCCACATAGCCTTAGTTGGACACCTGTCGACTAAATACACTGTTGTATATACAGCTTCTGCCCAAAAGCTTTTGGTAGTCCTCCATCATGCAACATCGATTTTGCCATCTCCATCACTATTTGACTCTTTCTTTCAAATACTCCATTTTGCTATGGAGTGTAACCAACTGTGAGCTGTCTCTCCATGCCTTCATCCTCACATAATTTTTTTGAGCCGATTTGAAGTGTACTCTTTTCCTCTGTCACTTCTCAAAATTTTGGTCGAATGCCCATTTTTCTTCTCAGTGAGGCATTTAAACTTTTTAAACAATTCAAATACTTTAGATTTTTGCCTCAAAAAATAAACGCAAGTCATACGACCGTAATCATCAATGAAGAGAATGAAGTATCTATTGTTTTCTATGATAGTTTCCAAGAGAACAAACTTAGCTCTTATCTTCAATTTTAGGAAGTTTTTGCACCATATTTTCCTATGCAACAACTTGAAGATTTCAAAATTTAAGTGCCCTAATCACTTGTACCACAACAATGATTCCATCAATCACCGTTGCTTTTAAGCTAACAACATCTCTTGAATACTTGAAAGGTAAATGGAAAGCTTCTATAAGATCCCATCTTTACTTAGCCACAACATTTTTCCTACTTCTAGCATCATATATTTTACAGTCATTACCTTCAAAATGAAGAGTACAACCATGATCCAAAAGTTGTCCAACACTTAGTAAGTTTTTGCAAGCTTAGGAACGAAGAGAACATCTCCAAAAACCTTTTTTTCTTTCTTTGTTTCAACACCAACACTCCCTTTCCCTTTCACTTCTACCACAGCATCATTACCCACCTGTACTTTTGAATTGAAAGATGTTTAGGAAAATATCCTTTTCTGGTGTCATATGATTACTATATCCACTGTCTAGGAACCAAACCTCATTCTTCTTTTCTGAGTCATGTTGGCCTGCATAAAACATATTTCCTTCAAGTTTTCCTTCATTTCCTTATCCTCCGTGAAGCTTGCTTGTTGGTTATTCCTCAGTCTACAATCTTTTTGCAATGACCAAAGCTTCTATAATGGAAACATTGAGGCTTCCCTTTGAACCAATAATCTTACAAGATGGCCAAATTTGCTGCAGACATTACATTTATGTGAAGAACCTTCTCCTACTTGATCTTCTATCAAAGTTACTGTAAAGAATTGGGTTGCTGAAATTCTTGAGCCCAATTGATTTGCAATTTAAGTGAAAACCCGGTCCAATGATTGGTCCACTTAACTGAAGGTTCCAGATTTGCAAAGTCGTTTTTTGGAAATACAACTTCAACTTAAACATGTCCCACACTAGATTTCTTACACCTGGCAGTATTGTAACCGTTGGATTGTTCTATTGGACGCGTCTCATATAAATAGGGTTGAAAGACTTTTCTTTGTAACCCTAATCTCCTTTTTTGACTGTCGCTTTTTCTTCTTCGTTCTCTTCATCTTCTGGATGATGTTGGTGTGATTTCTTAGTGAAATCTTGTAATATACTGTTAGTAGTGATGAAATCTATCTCTGTGTGAGATTAGCATATAGAATCTGAGGGCAAGTTTGTGGATGTGAACGACAGATTGTTTTTGCTCTTCTGTAACTTGGTTTTGCCCGATTTTGGGGGCTGTGATAGTGGATTCTAGCTTAATCCGTATGGATGCTCAACGGGGATGTAGGCGTTAATTGGCCGCCGAACCTCGGGGCCTTTGGCCAAAAATTCCTTCGTGTTCCTTACTTTCTTATCATTTACATTTTGAGTTTTTACTGTAAAATTCTCGAGTCACAAAAGTGTTCGTAATACTGGAAACTACAGTTACTTCTTCCTCTTCCTCTTCCTCTTTCACTAAATCCTCTTCACCCTCTATTTTGATATTGAATTGGAAATTTCCTTTCAAAAGCACTCTCAATAAATTTTTGAGTGTCTATCCAACCTTTGCTCTCACTAGATCCTCTTCACCCTCTATTTTGATATTGAATTGGAAATTTCCTTTCAAAAGCACTCTCAATAAATTTTTGAGTGTCTATCCAACCTTTGCTCATGAGATTTCAAAGAACTCGACAATTCTTGAACTCCCAATTTAGAAAGATCTTTAGTTTCTTCAATAACTGCCACCATTGAATCAAACTTCTCAAGCAAACTTATCAACAACTTCACAACTATTCTCTGATCTGTCATCTTTTTAACTCCATAAATCTAGTTGAATAATCATTCACACATTCATTTTGTTCATTAACATATTTTCAAAATCTCTTCTAATAGTTTGAAGTTTGATTGTTCTTACCCTTTAATCTCCTTGAAATTTTTCTTGAAATGTCTGTCGTGCTTTCTTGGATGTTTTAGTTCCCATGATTCTTGGAAAAATGGCTTCTAAAACTCCTCTCTATATCATCCCCATTGTTCTTGCACCTGTGCTCTTTATATTCTTCGACTCATTCTTCTGAGCTTTAATTAAATCTTCCATGGATTCAAGAATTTCATATCCTGATTCTACCATCTCCTATGGATCAAGAGACTCGAACAAAGTCTTCTTCTTGATAATTTAAAAATCATAGTCCTCCATAAAATATTGAAACTTGAACAATGCCCCAACTTACACTTGAGCGTGCAAAATTACAATTTTAGCCTTCACATGTTTTACAAATTACAATGACTTTTCTAATAAAAACACATTACACAATAACAAGTTTATGTAGATTTTCGGGGTCACCACACTCCAATCAATTAAGGCTAGTTGCTATGTCTAAATTTGTGACTTGAATCTGACGAATCCCAAATTCAGCGTGAATTAGGCATTACTAGGTGTCAATATTTTCAATGCTCAACAAGTACATTGTCCATTTCCAAATATGACATTATTATCATTTCAAAATTTATGAGAATACATTTATTTTTCACAATTTGAGGTAAATTAATTAATGATTCAATCAATTCGGGTATATTGTGAAAATCTCATTTGTAAGTCCAATGTATTCACTGCATTCACACATGACCAGTTTTGCATAGAGGTGAGTGAGGCCGACGCCTCAGGCTCGATATTAGAGGTGACTCAGATTTTAGCCTATTTAATTCTTTTTTTTTTTTTTTGGTAAATTAGGTTCTCCACTATTTTTTTATTGAAACTTTGATAAATTAGATCCATTCCATTCCATCTATAAATAAGGCCCAATAACCTTTTTTCATTACAGGAATTTCATTTCTAAATTAGGTCCATTTCAAATACAGCGAAAGGGGACAAGCGGCATAGTATTTCTCAAACTCATATTGCAGTGATTTCTTAATTCTACTCAACTTATTCATCACATAGATAGTATTTTATTTATTTGTTTAAAATAAGAGACATTTCACTAGACTTGAGGATAATTAACAAAGATCCTTAAATGAAGAGTAAACTCGAGTTCTTAATGATGTATTAACTTCAAAATTTTCAGTTCTGACTTAGTATGGTAATCTGGTTTAGGTTGTTGCATGCACTCAATATTTTGAATAAATTTCTTTAAATCGAAAACATGGGTATTGATGGTGCTATCGGCCTCTTACAAGCAATTGTTTCATTTCTCAAAAATTATAGATAAATTGAATTTTCCATTGTCATGGATAAACTAACAAAAATGTATAGAAGATGCATTCCGATAAGAATGTATAATTTGAATAAAGAAGAAATTTGACAGGAGTAGAAGTGATTAGGTAAATCAATGAGTTGAAGAATCTCTTAAAGTTGAATACCTTTTCTTTTTTTTATAATTAATCAAGCTCTATCTTCTCTAAGATTATATTTGAACAATTTTAAACATATGAAGAGATATTTGGATTTTTATTAAATTTGGAAAGATTATGGCATGCAATTTTTTCAATTTGTTGAAGCCTTGTATGATCTTGAGAAGTATCGGGAACATAATGGATGTTCAGGTATTAATGGAGATTATTTATGTTCTAAGTTACATGTCTTGAGGTACTATATACTAAATGAAACAACGAAAGTAATTGAAATGCTACAATATTTGAAGACATCTCAAATGCTTATATTATTTACGAAATTTTGTTAACCATATCTTATATCCAATCAACTGTATCAGAAAGAAGATTGAATTAATTGACTATGTTATCAATTGAGAAATATATGATTGAACAGGTAGATCATTCAATTTTTAATAATGTTTTTGCCTCTAAAATCGCAAAACGAATAATATTTAATTGATAGTTTGAAACATTGTGGACTTTATTATTTAATTATAATATAAATCATTTGTATAATATATTTTATTTTTTGTTTTATTGTTAAATTTTAAATTAACAAGTTAACTACTGACTACATAATACAGCTACGAATTTCGTATGAATACAAAAATTTTGGGACCTAATTTATGATGTTCGCTTTAGGTTCTGAAAACCATAGAACCGGCATTGCATTCATAGCTAAGCACATGCATACAGTCCAACAATATAATCACCCTATTTAGTGTTTATCTTTATCTTCACAATCTTGACTTTTCAGTACCATAAATGCACATGCAAAATTCCCCTATAAATAGGACAATCCTTGTTCTCTTCACAACATATATGTCTATCCTCTTAACATTTAGACACAAATATATCACTCTCCAGTTTCCTTCAATGGAATTCTTCAACAAATTCCTTTGCTTTCTTTTCTTTATGTGCTTTATGACCAGAGGTATAACATTTCTTACTTTTCTTTCTTTTTTCACTTATTTAATATTAATTTATACGATTTTGGTTTCATGTTTCAGGTAGTCTTCAATGCTTTCCTGGGAGCCTTAGAGACCTTACGGTAAATCAAGTTAGAACCAAAGAGAAAATAAGAAATAAACCAGAGTGGAAAGTGACAGTGACCAATAAATGCCTGTGTAGCTTCTTGCAAGTGACACTACTTTGCCCCGGATTTGATTCTGTCAAAACAATTAAGCCCTCACCTAAGTTCGTTTCCAAGAACGGCCCGAAGTCATGTCTTATTAACGATGGAAGCCCTATCTATGGTGGAAAAACATTCAAATTCACTTATGCCTCAGATCAAGAAATTGCATTTGCTCCATTTTCCTTCCTAGAAGCATGCTCTTGAATGAAAGATTATTGTTTATTGTCGGTCTTGTTGTAATAAAACCTAGGGAGCTAGCTGTCTATTATTGTTTTTTTTATTTTTTTTATTTTTCAGTAAAGAGGTTTCTGGTTTGATGAAATTTTCAGTTTCTGACTTGTTGTAATTTAAATTTGGGTTGGACTCTTCAACCTTTTATGTTATATAATTACAGGTCCTCAATTATTTAAATATGTAAATTTGGGGTACTCATGGAGACCTAGATTCACTAATTTAAAGGACCTCACATTAAAGATTATAAAAACTCATAGATCACTTAACGTGAAAGATTGAGGAGCTCAACCTGAATTTTCTCATTATTTGATGGAATGATGGTTTAATTTATGGATATCTGGAAACACTTTTAATTGTTTTAAAGAAATGGACCCATGTTTGTATGCATGATTGAATAGATCCCTTTAATCACTTCACCAACCCTCTAGAGAAAGACATTAATTTTTTCAAACTTTTTTCATTGAAAATCCATTCAGTAGAAATTTTCCCCTGATGGCACGTTTAGTGTGTTCATTACTTTCGAGTTGGAAAATATCCAACTTTTAAAATTTTAGACAAATTTATGATGCCGAGTCGATACCAATTCCTTGGCAACTTCCAGACTAGTGGAGTATCCACTGGTTCATTCTATTATCAATGTCATGGGCGGAGTCAAAGCATGTCCAGTGGACTTTTGGGCAGAATCTTTTTTTTTTTTTTCCTTTTTTGGTTTAACCCACTTCCCAGAGAAAAAAGCCCAATGAGACCCATTCCCTCAAAATTCAATTGACCCAAACCCATTGATTCATTTGAATCGATCCAACCTTTTGTCTGTGGGTGAGAGACTTCGTCCCTGTCGCAGCGTTGCAATTTTGGTTCTCACAAAGTATGAAAACTCGCAAAGAACAAATGTAATATATAAATTATGTCGTTTTTAGTATTGCTGTACTATTATTTTATTCTTTTATCGTCATTAAATCTATGATCAAAATATTGACATTCAGTGTCGAAAAAATTTTGCCCGCACTGAACTAAAATCCTGGCTCCGCCCCTGATCGAGGTGGTGGTGGTGGTGGTGGTGGTGGGGGTGTTGGTGAAAGTGATTTTTTTTAACTTTATTTTTTAATTTTTAATTATTTATTTGTGACTCGTTTGTATTTTTTTTTTTGAAAAAGTCAACTTGACTACCGTTGAAATTAATTTTTTTATTTTTTCTTCTTTCTTTTTTATTTAAATATCAGTGTATATTCATTATTTCACAAAGTTTTATTTAAAAAAAATGAAAGAAAATGTGGTCTTCCACATATCAAAGGTCATATATGGGGTTTTCAATCAATTTGAAAAGGTGAGGGATATTTGATAATAAGTCCATAAGATGAGGGGTATTGCGCCTATAAACGTTAAAAAGAATAATCAAAACATTCACCTTTCTTCATCTTGTTTCTATGCCCAATTTATGTTTCAAATCTATTGCCTTATCATGCATTTTAAGTCAAGGGAATTGATTACAATGCAAAGTGTGGATAAATTTGAGACTACAGTTTGACGACTAGTGGCTTCTTATTGGTTTTCCAAAATTTAATGATTGCTGTATGCACATAAAAGTCGTAGAAAAATGATACAACGGCATAAAAGTCGTAGAAAAATGATATAACGGCAGAAAAGAAAAAGAAAAAAATAAAAAATACACCCTGTTCGGCTCCGAAATTTCGGAAAATATATATATATATATATATACATAAAAGTCGTAGAAAAATGATATAACGGCAGAAAAGAAAAAGAAAAAAATAAAAAATACACCCTGTTCGGCTCCGAAATTTCGGAAAATATATATATATATATATATACATAAAAGTCGTAGAAAAATGATATAACGGCAGAAAAGAAAAAGAAAAAAATAAAAAATACACCCTGTTCGGCTCCGAAATTTCGGAAAATATATATATATATATATATACATAAAAGTCGTAGAAAAATGATATAACGGCAGAAAAGAAAAAGAAAAAAATAAAAAATACACCCTGTTCGGCTCCGAAATTTCGGAAAATATATATATATATATATATACATAAAAGTCGTAGAAAAATGATATAACGGCAGAAAAGAAAAAGAAAAAAATAAAAAATACACCCTGTTCGGCTCCGAAATTTCGGAAAATATATATATATATATATATACATAAAAGTCGTAGAAAAATGATATAACGGCAGAAAAGAAAAAGAAAAAAATAAAAAATACACCCTGTTCGGCTCCGAAATTTCGGAAAATATATATATATATATATATACATAAAAGTCGTAGAAAAATGATATAACGGCAGAAAAGAAAAAGAAAAAAATAAAAAATACACCCTGTTCGGCTCCGAAATTTCGGAAAATATATATATATATATATATACATAAAAGTCGTAGAAAAATGATATAACGGCAGAAAAGAAAAAGAAAAAAATAAAAAATACACCCTGTTCGGCTCCGAAATTTCGGAAAATATATATATATATATATATACATAAAAGTCGTAGAAAAATGATATAACGGCAGAAAAGAAAAAGAAAAAAATAAAAAATACACCCTGTTCGGCTCCGAAATTTCGGAAAATATATATATATATATATATACATAAAAGTCGTAGAAAAATGATATAACGGCAGAAAAGAAAAAGAAAAAAATAAAAAATACACCCTGTTCGGCTCCGAAATTTCGGAAAATATATATATATATATATATACATAAAAGTCGTAGAAAAATGATATAACGGCAGAAAAGAAAAAGAAAAAAATAAAAAATACACCCTGTTCGGCTCCGAAATTTCGGAAAATATATATATATATATATATACATAAAAGTCGTAGAAAAATGATATAACGGCAGAAAAGAAAAAGAAAAAAATAAAAAATACACCCTGTTCGGCTCCGAAATTTCGGAAAATATATATATATATATATATACATAAAAGTCGTAGAAAAATGATATAACGGCAGAAAAGAAAAAGAAAAAAATAAAAAATACACCCTGTTCGGCTCCGAAATTTCGGAAAATATATATATATATATATATACATAAAAGTCGTAGAAAAATGATATAACGGCAGAAAAGAAAAAGAAAAAAATAAAAAATACACCCTGTTCGGCTCCGAAATTTCGGAAAATATATATATATATATATATACATAAAAGTCGTAGAAAAATGATATAACGGCAGAAAAGAAAAAGAAAAAAATAAAAAATACACCCTGTTCGGCTCCGAAATTTCGGAAAATATATATATATATATATATACATAAAAGTCGTAGAAAAATGATATAACGGCAGAAAAGAAAAAGAAAAAAATAAAAAATACACCCTGTTCGGCTCCGAAATTTCGGAAAATATATATATATATATATATACATAAAAGTCGTAGAAAAATGATATAACGGCAGAAAAGAAAAAGAAAAAAATAAAAAATACACCCTGTTCGGCTCCGAAATTTCGGAAAATATATATATATATATATATACATAAAAGTCGTAGAAAAATGATATAACGGCAGAAAAGAAAAAGAAAAAAATAAAAAATACACCCTGTTCGGCTCCGAAATTTCGGAAAATATATATATATATATATATACATAAAAGTCGTAGAAAAATGATATAACGGCAGAAAAGAAAAAGAAAAAAATAAAAAATACACCCTGTTCGGCTCCGAAATTTCGGAAAATATATATATATATATATATACATAAAAGTCGTAGAAAAATGATATAACGGCAGAAAAGAAAAAGAAAAAAATAAAAAATACACCCTGTTCGGCTCCGAAATTTCGGAAAATATATATATATATATATATACATAAAAGTCGTAGAAAAATGATATAACGGCAGAAAAGAAAAAGAAAAAAATAAAAAATACACCCTGTTCGGCTCCGAAATTTCGGAAAATATATATATATATATATATACATAAAAGTCGTAGAAAAATGATATAACGGCAGAAAAGAAAAAGAAAAAAATAAAAAATACACCCTGTTCGGCTCCGAAATTTCGGAAAATATATATATATATATATATACATAAAAGTCGTAGAAAAATGATATAACGGCAGAAAAGAAAAAGAAAAAAATAAAAAATACACCCTGTTCGGCTCCGAAATTTCGGAAAATATATATATATATATATATACATAAAAGTCGTAGAAAAATGATATAACGGCAGAAAAGAAAAAGAAAAAAATAAAAAATACACCCTGTTCGGCTCCGAAATTTCGGAAAATATATATATATATATATATACATAAAAGTCGTAGAAAAATGATATAACGGCAGAAAAGAAAAAGAAAAAAATAAAAAATACACCCTGTTCGGCTCCGAAATTTCGGAAAATATATATATATATATATATACATAAAAGTCGTAGAAAAATGATATAACGGCAGAAAAGAAAAAGAAAAAAATAAAAAATACACCCTGTTCGGCTCCGAAATTTCGGAAAATATATATATATATATATATACATAAAAGTCGTAGAAAAATGATATAACGGCAGAAAAGAAAAAGAAAAAAATAAAAAATACACCCTGTTCGGCTCCGAAATTTCGGAAAATATATATATATATATATATACATAAAAGTCGTAGAAAAATGATATAACGGCAGAAAAGAAAAAGAAAAAAATAAAAAATACACCCTGTTCGGCTCCGAAATTTCGGAAAATATATATATATATATATATACATAAAAGTCGTAGAAAAATGATATAACGGCAGAAAAGAAAAAGAAAAAAATAAAAAATACACCCTGTTCGGCTCCGAAATTTCGGAAAATATATATATATATATATATACATAAAAGTCGTAGAAAAATGATATAACGGCAGAAAAGAAAAAGAAAAAAATAAAAAATACACCCTGTTCGGCTCCGAAATTTCGGAAAATATATATATATATATATATACATAAAAGTCGTAGAAAAATGATATAACGGCAGAAAAGAAAAAGAAAAAAATAAAAAATACACCCTGTTCGGCTCCGAAATTTCGGAAAATATATATATATATATATATACATAAAAGTCGTAGAAAAATGATATAACGGCAGAAAAGAAAAAGAAAAAAATAAAAAATACACCCTGTTCGGCTCCGAAATTTCGGAAAATATATATATATATATATATACATAA